CTCTTTATCAGGATAAGGTATAACTGATTGATGAACATCACGTCGTACGTATGGCCCTCGAACAAGTTGATCTTTGCGTAGTTCCTTTAGTTGGGTAACAATTCCTTCAATCCGATCTTGGAGTTCCTGGAAGCGTTTTTCCATCGGCGACATCCTACGCTGCTCAATTCTTTCTCCTTTATAATCGGCCTTCTCGGACATGATCAAAGCAATTTTTTTTTCTTTTTATTTTTAATGACACAAACAAAACCAAACTTAGACTCTAAGCAACTCAAAATAAAATAACAAAAATTCGAATTTGATTTTTTTTTTTTTTTGTTTTTTTTATGGACTGTAGACAAAACCTAACTTAGACTCAAAGAAACTTCAAACAAAGAAATAAATTTCAAATTTTTTTTATTTTTTTATTTTTTGGTTTATGGACTCTAAATAAACAAAACGACAGAGTAGAAGACTCAACAACAATAGACACGAAACGAGAAAAAAACGAAGACACGAAAAAAGGACTGACTCAACAATCAAGATAAAGGATAGACGAAATATGTTTTTGATGTTGGCTCTGATACCAACTGATATGAACCCCGTAGAACTCGTTACGAGACCCAATACCTTACGCGGAAGCAAGATCGAAGACATCCAAAAATAAAGATTCAAGTTTGGCGGAAGCAAGGAATAATGACCCCATAGATATAATGAGCTATAAACCATTATTATCAAGGTGGAATATTAACCCCGTGGTTATAAAGAACCAGAAACCAATATTATTTCGCCAAGAAAGTTACAAGAATCCACTTGTAAAATCCCGAAGTTGCTGTAGAACAGCGAAGGAGAAATAACTCTCAATATACTCAAATATTCATTAAAATTCGTCCATCAAAATAGGCCAAATTGGCAACCTATTTATAAGATCTAAAAAGACTTCTTTTCACAAGGATAAGGACTCCTACCTAATATAAAATAAGGAAAGTTATAAATAAGCAAATCCTAACTATAAAAGACTCTAAAATAATAAAAAACATAATAAATCCTAAATTAAAAACGTGCATAAATAAATTATATAACTTGATCTTCAAGTCGACTTCTCGATCAACCTTCGTAACTTGCGCATACAATGGGTTGTGCACATGCATGCAATTAAAGCTCAATGTCGACACTGTTCCACTTCGAATATCTCTTCGCTCAAACCATGAAAGTTGTAGATCTTTCAGTTAGATTTCTGAATCATTTTGAATCAGCTTAAATGGACTTTAGATGCGAGAGTTATAACTCGAATGGTAAACAGTGCCAGAATAGGCGAGAATCTCGGATGCATGGAATTCGACTTGTCCAATGAATTCTTCTCTTTCTTTTCTTCCAATTCCAAATCATAGACATCTCAAACATTTCATACCAACCTTTCTTCTCCAAGGAAAACTCGAATATCCTCTTAAAACACGTACGCTTGCGCTTCTTCCAATTCTTCATCTTTGAGCTTGCTAGGATCGTATCAATAAGTGATCCATCAACCTTATCCATGCCACTCTAAGTTGTTCCCGTCGCTATCACGGGTTACAATTTCAACAGAAAATTAGTTTTTCCCCGGCGGTAAGGCAGCATCAAAATTTAGTTCACCACTCCACTTGGTGGTGGTTGCCACACACCAGCATATGAAAACTTTGTCTTTGTGCTAGACGTCAATTTCGCTATTTTAAAAGCATCAAGATATGCTCTACTCCAATGCACAATATCAATCATCGGTATTCCTTTCTCTCCATGAAGCTCCTTATTCCTAATATCCCATACCTTCCATGCTATGATTATAGCCACATTGAAATCGTCCGCATTCAATAAATGGTGAAGACTTTCTACAAAATTACATGCAGAAGTGAAAACTATGTATGTAAGTTTATCAAAGGGTGCGACTTCTAAACTTTGTTCAACTTCCCTGCATTTAACAAAAATATGGAGGGAGTCTTCCACTGCCATCTGTTAGTAATCGCAAATAGGGGAAGTGGAAATTTTTCGATGGTTCAACTCCGCTTTGGTGGGTAATATGTTTGTTACAATACAAATATATTATGGTTAAAACTAATACTATTTTAAATAAAGTCCATAAATATTACTTATTATTTCCATTTATACATTAAAAGAAAATAAAAATCATGACCGATGCCCTTGAATAAGCGAATTTTTTTAACATACCCACCGTTGTATTGTTACAAATAAAATCACCCCCTTTAGAGATTTTCAAGGTCCGTTCCTCCGTCCCTGCTAGAGCCCCGTTTTGACTGTATTTATAAAGTTTGCCTTGGGCCCGAAATTCCTAGGAATGGCCCTATATGCCACCAACAACTTGATTACTAAGCTCGCAACACCGGATCAGATCTTGAGCACATAATTACATTAGAGTTTTCTCGCATCTAGATTGAGCTGGACACGCTCCTCATTGTCCAGCTTCTTTCATCACAGGACACCGACCACTTGACCTTGCAGCCTCGTAAGGTGGTAGTTATAGTTTAAATTAGGGGTGCTAATTTTTTTTTCGAAACAAAAAATCGAAATATATAAAAAATATTTTTTCCTAAAAAAAAGTTAAATTTTTTTTTTTGTGAATACAAAAATTGAAAAAAAATAAAAAAAAACAGGAAAAAAAATTTGAAATATAGTTTTTTTTTCCAAAAAAAAGTAAAAACAATATTTTTTGTTCAATGTTTTTCGAAAAATAAAATAAATATATTGGAAAAACTGAAGGAAAAGAAATTCGGAAAAACAAAATTCTGAAAAAAAATCGAACAATAATAAAAAATATATATTTTTGAAAAAAAAATTGGAATAAAAATCGAAAAATAATTTTTTTTCCGAATTTTTTAGATTTTTTTTTCGAAAAATAAAAAAGAAAATTGTCGGAAAAACAAAAGAAGACAAAAAATTCGAAAATTTAAAAATAAAATATTTTTTTTCGAAAAAATAAAAAAAATAACAAAGTATAAATATTAAAAAGAGGAAGAAAAAAATTATGTACAATAAAGAGCGTAATTCGGTCATTTTCATGTAATTATGTTGATGTTAAGGAAATCAAATATCAAATACTATTAAACAATGAAAGAGAAAAAAAATTCAAAATTTAATAACAAACATCTTATAAAATAGTAAGTTGTATTATTTTATATAGTGAATTATTTTATCTTGACTAATGTTATCTTGCATTATAAATAAATAAGCTCGCTATGTGTAATATTGGCTGAGCTAGTGATGACAGTTTGACCAAAACTATTGATTTGTGCAGTGAATGGAATAATATATATAGACCACACAACTCACAAGCTAAGTGAAAGGAGGTGATGTATATTGTATCGAGAAATAATTGATTGAAGAAGAAGATGGGTTTTTTGTTGGACAAATTAGCGTGGAGTCTCTTCGATCTAATCCACAACTTCTTGATTAAAGTGCTGAGATGCACATGCATGGGCAGATGTGCTTCTTTTTGACTAAACTCAATGAACTCAAACATGCAAATACCCCCATACTTATTCTCACTAAGATCTGACACCATCCTTGTTATTTTTCTTTCAATTTTCTCTCTCCCTCCTCACCAGAACTAAAAAAAAAAACTGAAGCTGCATCCCCCTCTTTCCTGAAAAAGGGGAGTAGAATTTAACCAAACGAAGAAGACCAGCGAACAAAAAAAGTTGATTAAATAAAAACAAACATAAAATGTAAAACATATACAATATTAGAACACCACTTGATTGCTTATTATTTACTCAAATTCTTGTACCAAGAGCAAAACATCCGTCTCCAAAATTCACTATTTTATATGAAGATTTATTATTTATCAAGTAAAGAAGTATTATTGGTCCTCTTAAACAATTTTATTTTATGTGTATACCGTGTACAATTAAACTTCTATAATTAATACGGAAAATTACACCTGCACTCCTAAGTTATTCTAAAATAATTTTAAGGTTCCTGTAGTATCGGTAATTACAATCACCCCCAAAACATTGTTAGAAGCCCTAACGGAATAATGCTCTGGGTAACTTATTCCATTAAGGTTCAAACGGGCAGTGGTGGAGACAACATAGAGCTCGGGGGTGACATGGTTGACGAACACTACTAGAAAATCGCATATTAGCTACGGACGAATTCGTTTCCAATTAACGCAAATCCGTCGCTAATGATTGATTAGCGATGGATTAAGCCCGTCCCAAAGTCCGTCGAAAAAGGTCGCGTCGCTAAAATTTAGCTACGACAAACAAAAATCCGTAACTAATTGTTAGCGATAGAATAATCGGTGGCTAAATCCGACGCTATGTTAGCAATAGAATAAAACAACGCTGAATACGTCGCTATCATAGCAATAAAACAATCCGTTGCCAAATTTATCACTAATTTTAGATAGGCATATAGCCCTAGCTACTTCCGTTGCAAAAATTGAATTGACTTTTAAAAAAAATAATATATATATATATATATATATATATATATAAACACGTATCAATGCTATAATTTTATACCTATTAATATATTATATAGCATAACAGTATCATACATCCAAAATCATTGGACAATTATAAACTTGAATTACAAATTCTAATAGCAGTCTTCCAAAAGCATGAAACGTAGTCAATCATATTCTTAAGTGTCATGTTCTCTCGAGAGGTCCTTGTGCTTGATATATCTTCATGCTTTACTTGTATCCCATCCTCTAGCTTGCTATATATATAAAAGAAAGAAAAGATAAATGTAATTAGCCAAATGGTGACTTAAGCTAAGAAGACAACTTAGATGGTAATAACTACTTAGCTATACTATTTACCTTCAAATGTAGCACCTGTTGTTGAATAATTATATTACCAAGAGAAACAAATAACTTGAATCTTCATTCATACTTTCAACCTTGAAGAAAGAGATTTCTAGAATTAATACATGCCAAGATAAAGAATTCATCCCATTCCTGTTAAAAAAGAAAAGAAAAAAAAAAAGAATTCATTCCAATTAACATTTAACGATCTTGCTACTGAATGGCTGACATGTAGCAAAATAGAAGAAAGTTCACGAGATATTAGCTAGATAATAATCAGGGCAATGTATAATATTAAATTAAACAAAAAGACTGATATAGTCATACTTGAGAAAGTCGAGCAATTTTCTGCTAGAGTAAAATCAAACTCTCCTCTTTGATATTCACATATGGCAGGATCTTTGATCACTTGTCTTGACTGCAAACATAGAAGAACCAATAAGCAAAACTAAAATCTGATATGAACAAAATAAGGTAGAGTGTATTTATAAAAAATCTAAAACTTCAATAAGGACATGTTATCTCCACATAGTAAACATTTCCAGCATATTTAAACAATCTAAATTGGCTTCAAACATACCCATGACTGCACCTTATATATGGAAGCTTGAGAAAATTACAAAGAAGCAAACCACATCACCAATCAGTTTCAAGCACATGATACACTGTGACATTCTTATGTAAAATTAAATGAATAAAAGTAGATGATTGCTACAATATTACTATATTAATAGCATGTTAATAGTAAAAACAACAAAACATTGCAATGGTATTTATTTTTTACTGTGTGGCTCGAGAAAGGCATTTATTCACCTTGTTCTACTGAGTGATAAACTCTCAATCATCAATTTAATTGCTCTCCAGATTGGTGGAATTTGTATTTTGTTGAGTTTCTCTGTGATTGGAAACAAAAACGTATGCCATCAATACAAACAATTCTTAGCAACTTTGCATATTTCACAGTATCAATATTGACTTAAAACATTTATTAAAGGCTATTGAAGAACATACCACATGAAACAGAGAGAATAATTTGCAAGAAGGATGAACCGACGAAGCTGCAAGATTATGAACTTTTAGTAAAAGAATGAAAAAGCCATTGCTAAAAAGTAAATTAAGTTGCATATAATCGAAACATTGCTTATGTAGCTTAAACCATATGGAAGCAATTAGGCCTATAAAAAATCCTGGTACTCTTATGCATATAAAGGATACATAAAACAACCTAAATAATTATAAAAAAAATTATTAAAAACATATATTGCACAAATAAACAAACCTTCTATGCTCTCAAATCTCAATGTACTGATGGTTGCTTTGTTCTCCTCATTTTAACCTCTTGAAATATCTCTAGGTAAACAACCCTGCAATGGAATATAGATATTTCTTCCAACACATGTTAATCAGATCTTCTTCCCCCTTCTAAAAATTGGGGGAAAACAAAAAAAACAAAAAAAATACAGAACTTACCATAAATGATATGCAGTAGCAGACGTTGTCATCGCTCTCAATTGATATATTAGGGCTTACTACAACTCCGTCAGATTTTTGGGCCGGCAGATCGAAGGGCTTCTTTTCCAAAGGCAGCAACGAAGGGTAACTAGGTTTTGGACGAAGAGAGGAAAATACGATTGGGGTTTGGGCCCTTGGCTTGTGTACGGCGAAAATGGGAGAGGGAAATATTTTGAAGTGGAGGGAAATGAAAAAATGAAAAGGGGTGGAGTTTTTTTAATACTTCTATTTTCTTTAAATTACACATATCTAATTTTACATTTGGAACATATTTTATTACTATTATATTATTTAAAACTCAACTATGAAAATTAATTGGAAGTAACATACTTAAGAGATATTTTTTTACTATAATGTAATCAATAATTCATTTAATTTAACAAACTAAGAAATAAATAATTGTTGAAAAAACTTAATAACTGATATAATATACAAAGTATGAATTCAAATCAATGTTTATAATTTTCAATAGTACATTAAGAAAAAAAAATCAATTGTTCAATAATTTAAAAATATATTTAAATTTTATATTAATTAGTTTTTTAAGTTTGTCCCTAATTGCTTATAAAAAGTGAGTACGATTTAATAATAGATAAATTCGTATGTAAATTGTAAACAATTACAGTAATAAACAAATTCAAAACAATAGTACTATAATATTAATATTTAAATGTATATTAAAACCCAACACATTAAACAGACTGACTTAAATTAAAAGGACATTCAGTTAATCAGAAACGGATTTTTATATGTCAGCTATTTAGAAACAAATTTATTATCCATCGCTAATTTTTGTTACTAAAGTATTTGTCTTAGCCACGAACCCGCGTCTGTCGTTACACCCGTTGCTAAATATTTAACTTAGTAACGAATATGTCATTCGTTGCTTATTTCCGTCGCTATAACTAAAACTTCATAAGAAAAGGGACGATTTTGTGTTTCGTTGCTAATTTTATCGTTAAATATGTATTTTCGCAACAGAACAACAATCCGTTGCTATTGTCCGTCGCTAATACGCAATTTTCTAGTAGTGGAAGGCCCGCAACATTTCTTAAATCCTTATTATTTCATATAATATATCTAAATTTTCGTTTATGGTAGTATTAAAGGCCCTCCGTAAAACAAATATAGTGTATATCGGTCTCCAGGACATGAAATCTTAGCTACGATAATTGTTTCAGGGATGTGACTGTAATTACCAATACCACAGAATCATCACGGTTATTTTACTATACCTTATGAGTGTGGGTGTAATTTAACACAGTTAATATAGTTATTTGCGACTAACAAAATTCTATTAAATTAGTTAGCCCACTAATTGATATATTAATAGTAATTAAATTTATGGATTAATTAATAGGGGGAATGACAAAGAGACCCATGAGAAGAGACTTAAATGCATATAGGTTCAGACAAAAAACAGTCTTGCAAATAAATCCATATTTATGTCTTTTGTCTAAAATACCCTCTATAATATATTTTTTATCAATTCCATCCATTATACTCTAACTTCCTCAATTTTACATATTGATCCCGGATTTGAACAAATATATCACATTAACCCTCATTTTCATAATTTTCTGAAAAAAATATTTTTTTTATTAATTTTTTTTTCCGGTCAGATTCCGGCGTTGATTTTTTTCTTTCTCTAAATTACTGTTTTTAACAACAAAATTATTGTCTAAAATAGTAATATTAAATACCAAAATAGTAATATTACTAATATTACTGTTACAAACTATAATATTACTAATATTAATGTCCCAAACAGTAATATTATTGTCTCAAACAGTAATATTATGAATATTACTTTCACAAACAGTAATATTACTAATATTATTGTCTCAACAGTAATATTATTGCATGAGACAGTAATATTACGGTCGAAGAACAAAATTGCAGGCCAAGACGATAAAATTAATTAATATAGTAAATTTACTGTCTCAGACATTTAAATTACTATTGGAGAAAGCAGGAAAGACAATAATATTAATGTTGATGTGGTTGACAGTAATATTACTGTAACAACAGCAATATTATTGTGTTTCCAGTAATATTACAATAGTAGACAGTAGTATTATTACGCTACTCCGTCAACAACTCAAATAAAACAAAAAACCCAAAAAATAATAATATTGATAACAGTAATATTATTGTGTTTACAAGTATTTTACTGTCAACGATAATATAATTACGTTGACTTGTCAACAAATCAAACCAAAAAAAAAAAAAAAAAACCAAAAAATAATAATATTGTCGCTGACTCTAATTGTACTGTCAATGACAGTACAGTTACATAAATGTACTGTGAACGACAGCGTCGTACAATTACGTTAATATACTATCAATGACAGTATAATTATTGTTAATGATAGTACAATTACGGTCAACATTTAGCGGCGGGGGTAAAAAACGGATAAAAAATTTAGGAAAAAAATCACTAAAAAAAATCAACACCGGAAATCGGCGGCAGAAAATGTAGACAATTTTTTTTTTCTCGAAAAAGTCAACGCCGGAAACCGGCGGCAAAATAATAAGTTCATAAAAAAATTCTAAAAAAAGAGTCAAAATTAAATTTTTGTGGTCAAAATTGATTAAATTGGGGTTACAATTAAGAATTGGGTGTAAAGGTTTCGGAGTAATTTTGTCATATACATTAATTTTTCCTTTATTTATTATACATATTAAAGGGATGTGTTTATTGACAAAAGAGATATAACCCCTGAATCTAGAATAATAAAAATGGTTGGTCAGATACTTATGCACAAAAACCCCTTATATTAAAGCGCATTTTGACCAAAAAAAAAAAAAAAAACTCAGACCTTCATTAATAGGGAGGAAGTTGTCCAACATATATTTCACTCTTTGATATAAATTCCTGCCCTTTTCTCCTTCTTCTATAATTCTAAAATTGCCCTTCCTCTATTTCCTTCCCACTACACCCATTCCCATTTTCATTTTCCTTTTTGTTTTAAATTAATTTTCATTTTCAATTTTTTGTTAAAAAAATTAATTTTTTTATTTTATTTTTTTAACGTTTTCCTTTATCTATCAGGTATATTAATCGACTAAAACATAGTCGATTAACAAACTGACTGCTAAAATAGTGGTTGTATAATGAAACTGACTACTAAAAGTAACAAAAACTACCGTAATACCGTCAATGAAATCCAACACGATTCAACAAAAAAATCCAATCATTAACCAACTCAAACAAATAACAAAAACCACAAAAAATAAATGAAAATCAACTACTTTTTACAAAACTACAAAATATATAAAAATTATAATTAATTTATACAAATCGGATGATGAACTGACAATGACAGAACGAAAATGCATCACCGCTATACAAATCAGATAATGAATTGACAATGGCAAAACAAAAATGCACCACCGGTCTCTCGCATTGAAATTTTTTTTTTAATATATATATATATGAAAAAATCCTTTTATATATCCCACAAAACAAAAATATCTCATTTTTTTTAAGTTGTTTTATTCACAAAATCCTTTTTGGCCACCCCAGCCATAAGCATGGGTACGCCCCTGCTCCTGGGCCAACAAGATTGCCGTTAAAGCGGCCATTGCTTCACCTTCCACCGGTTGAAGATTACTATGCATCTTGACCACCCTACGGACTGGAAAAAAAATTCATATTATTTCTGATTTTTTTTAAATAATGAAAATGGAGGTTAATATGATATATTTGTTCAAATCCACGGTCAATGTAAAATATTGATGAAATTAGAGTATAGTGGATGAAATTGATAAAAATTATATTATGGATTGTATTTTAGACAAAAGACATGTGAGTAGTTTATTTGCAACTGTGTTTTTGTCTGGACCTACGTGCATTTAAGTCCATTATCATGGGCCTATTTGTCCGCTAAAAAAACCACCCCTAAATATAACTGCACGAACTATGAAAATAAAAACTAAACTCTTCAACATCTGGTGGCTCCACTTAGGAGAATATTTAGTAAGATGAATTAAATGAAGCGCGGACAAATTGGTGTGGGTAAAGCCTAAAGAATGTAATTATGATTAGTAAAACAAAGCCATTATGAGCATGAAATATTTGTCTCGGATATGATTTGGGCATACAGAGGACTGGTCCCTCGGCATTGCATTTGCATCCATAAAACAAAAGGACTGGGTTGGGTCTATACCAAGAAATTACTAATATAATATTAAAGTTTGACTGGTTAAACTTAAAAAAAAAAGTGATAGTAGCATTATTTATTTCCCCCAGAATTTGCAAGGACAGAGAAAAAATATGTATAATAAAAAGTAAAAAGACAAAGGAATGATTTATTACAAAGTGGTACTATCTATCCTCCAATCAGTAAACAGAGAGGAAAACGAGCCAGTTCACGTGACAGGTCACTCTCATTCTTACCGTTGATAAAAGTAATAACAAGTGGAAATAAATAATAATAAATGTTTCACAAGGGCGTATTAGTAACAAAATTAATTAAAAACATTACAATAACAATTAACAATAAATAAGCAGTACAGTTAAGAGAATAGGGCAGCCTTTTTGTTTTTGGTTTATAAATACTGGTTCGCCGGTTGGTTGGTTTAGTTTAGTGGGATATAGCAAAAATGGGTTCCCTTTTGACTTGTTCAACACTTGTATTATTGTTTGTTGTAGTTTTTCTGGTTGAGTGTAACAATGCATACTACCCAGGCGGCGGCAAACACCGTCGATTTGCGTCACACAATTACAAAGATGCACTCACAAAATCAATACTGTTCTTCGAGGGACAGAGATCTGGTAAACTCCCTCCTAACCAAAGAGTCACTTGGAGAAAAGACTCTGCTCTTTCAGACGGCTCCGCAATGCATGTATGTTTTTTTAATATTTTTATTTTTTGGTTAAAGAAAAATAGATCTTTGATGTGGGTTTTTCGTCGTCGGTTTAACAAAAAAAAAAAAAAAATGCAGGTTGATTTGGTGGGAGGGTACTATGATGCAGGGGACAACGTGAAGTTTGGTTTCCCAATGGCATTCACAACGACAATGCTTTCATGGAGTGTGATTGAGTTTGGTGGTCTTATGAAAGGAGAGTTACAGCATTCCAAAGAAGCCATTCGCTGGGCTACTGACTATCTCCTCAAAGCTACTTCTCATCCAGGCACCATTTATGTTCAGGCATTATATTCTTTCTACCTAGATAGATTAGATCTTCCCTTTTTTTTTTATTAAAAAATATTTATTTATTTGTCTGAAATTAATAATAATAATAAATATTGGTAGTACAGGTGGGAGATGCAAGTCAGGATCACGCTTGCTGGGAGAGGCCTGAGGATATGGACACTCCTAGAAGTGTTTTCAAGATTGACCAAAATACCCCTGGCACTGAGGTTGCTGCTGAAACTGCTGCTGCTCTTGCTGCTGCTTCCTTAGTCTTCAGAAAGTCTGATCCTAATTATTCCAAGATCTTAGCCACAAGGGCCATCAGGGTATTTTTATTTATTTTTTTATCATCTCATTTTTTACATTATAAAAATATGTATTAATTAAAAAAACATATGAATCTGATTTGTGTTACGTTGTTTTGGTGGTTGATTCTCAGGTGTTTGAGTTTGCTGATAAGCACAGAGGTGCCTACAGTAATGGTCTGAGACGATATGTGTGCCCCTATTACTGTGATTTTTCGGGCTACCAGGTACTCTACATAAATAGAACATTATACTACTTAGCTTGTTGAAAACCATCTATTAATTAGTTAATTAATTAATTATATAAATTGGTTAAATAAAAGGATGAGCTGTTGTGGGGTGCTGCTTGGTTACATAAAGCAACGAGAAATCCAACATATCTGAGCTACATTCAAGCAAATGGACAGACCCTTGGTGCCGATGAATCCGATAACACTTTCGGTTGGGACAACAAGCATGTCGGAGCTCGAATTCTTCTTTCCAAGGTGGGTCTTCCTAATTTGTATTTTTTTTTACCTTCTTTCCTTTCAATGTGGGATTTATTATTATTGTGGCTTAATTAATTAACATGTTTATTGTGACAATTAATGAATTATTATTATTATTATTATTCAGGCATTTCTAGTCCAAAATGTTCAGCCTCTCCACGATTACAAAAACCATGCAGATAACTACATTTGCTCTCTAATCCCAGGGAACCCTTCTTCCAGTGCCCAATACACCCCAGGTTAATTCATATTTTTGTATCATTAAATAAAATATAACGGGGGGTTATGAATTTGAAAGTATTTGTAAATTGTAATTGGTGGTGTATGTCATCCAGGTGGGCTTCTATTCAAGATGAATGACAGTAACATGCAGTATGTGACATCCACCTCTTTCTTGCTAGTAACATATGCCAAATACTTGACCACTTCTCGCAAACTAGTTAACTGTGGTGGATCCATCATTACACCAAGGAAGCTCAGATCTCTTGCCAAAAAACAGGTGGATTATTTGCTCGGTGATAATCCAATGAAAATGTCTTTCATGGTTGGATACGGTTCACGGTATCCCCTCAGGGTCCACCACAGGGGATCATCTCTCCCTTCAATATCTTCACATCCCTCAAAGATACAATGCTCATCTGGCTTCACTATCATGAATTCTCAATCACCAAATCCAAACATATTGATTGGTGCTGTAGTTGGTGGGCCCGATCAGAACGACCGCTTCCCAGATCAAAGATCCGACTATGAGCAATCTGAGCCAGCCACTTACATCAATGCACCCCTTGTTGGTGCCTTGGCTTATCTTGCCCACTCTTTTGGCCAACTCTAAAAAGAAACCCAAAAACAAAACATTACTATTACTTCACTACTTCTACTACTACAACTAGTCCTGTGTTTTCTGCTTTTGTTATTTTTGAGGGCCAAACAAATGTTAACTTTCCAGTAATTAATTTTAATTTAGTAGTACTAGAGAAATATATAGTAGTAGTAGTAATTAATCAAAGAGCGCAGTAGCCGAGACAAAATATCTAGTGCTCGAGCCATGTAATGAACTGTGTTGGTCAGTTTGCCCTGTTTAATGAATGCCATTGAATTAAAGTTAATACTTTAATTTTTCTTAATTATTAATATTAATAATTAAATAGAAGAAAAAGGAAAAACAAAGCGATAAGTTTATGGTGTAAATTACATATGACACAGTGTGTGTGGAATGATTGAATGCGAGTTTTATGCATTGATGGCGGTATGGCAATGGCCAATTGTGTTGCGCCTTTTTGGTGTTTCATTTTTTTGTGCTATAATATTTTCTATACTTTGGGACTTGTAATGTGTCCTCTTCTGCTTTTAACTTATTAACTTATTATGCTACCAAGCAATCCCACCATTAAATTATTATGCTACATTTCTTCCAATTGGCTGTTTTTAGGTATGAATTAATTATATATTTAATTTTTTTAAATTGTAATTATAAAAATAAATAATGTCAATAGTGTATTTTATTCGACATTGTCATTTGCTTTTTCTTTTTTTGGTTTTTTTTTTCAAATGTCTCTTTAATCTTAATTTAATTTTTATGTTTATTTTTTTTTTTGCATTTACGTTGGTGATACATTAGGGTTTTCTTTTTCACATCTATCTGTTCTTTATTTTTTTATAATCAATTGGTAAATAATTTGGTCCCCAAATTGCAATATAATTTGTTACTCCCTTTCCATTATAATAGTTGTTTTCTGATTTTGCACACGGATTAAAAATTTCATGAAGTATGTCTTGATTTTATGAAAAATGTATGCTTTTAGACTAAAATCATTTATCTAATAATTTATGAGTGAAAAATGAATTAAGAAAAGTATTAGAAAAAATAATAAGAGTATAAACTGGAAATTAAGTAATTGACGCATTGTTGAAAATTTAAAATAAGAGATAATATGGAATAAAAAAAAAATTCTTGAAAAGTGACAGATATTGTGGAATATAAGTAGTAGTAACAATGTTCTCTCAATTTGAGTTTTAGTATCCCTATTTTTGACACATTGGGAACTCAAATATAAAACTTTTAAATATAATTAAACTTTAAATTCAAGATATTGAGAATTTGTGAAATGAAAATGTATTATAGGGGTGCACTTTTTTAGTTTTTGATGATGGGTGTAATATATTAACCGTTGGTTTGGGGCCCAATATTTGACCGTTGGTCTCCTCAAGGAGGAAAAAAATTGGCGGGGAAATGGGCGTGTATCACGTGATGTGTTGAGAGTTAATACTGAGGCACCACTGTAAATGCGTCAGAGGTTTCCTCGTGTTCTGGAAAACGACATTAGGCGGATTTGGGTCTCAAATCACTTTCTTTATCGAAGGATATGGAGTTAAATGCAAATACAACCCCTGTGTTAATTCTAAAGACCAAAAACCCCCTCGAGATAAAAAAAGTGACGAAAAACCCCGTGATAAGTGTTCAAACAAGCATACTCGACCCATTTTATTTTTATCCGTTGACCACTCGTGAAAAGACGAATAAACCCTCGGATAAATCTGTCCAACTACAAACATTTTATGACCCAAATGAAGTTTTTAAAATTTTCAATTCAGTCCCTAATACTTTCAATTAAACCCTCTTCCCCAAATGAAAAAAAACACACAGACACAAAAACACACACTTTGTTTTTCAATTCTCTGCTCACCTCACTCACCCCACCCAACCACTGCCGTCGTCGGCTCCGTTCATGGACTGAAACCTCTCTCCGTCAACCAAGCTTCTCAACCCCTAACAACAACGAATTCCCTCTCAACTCAAAATTTCTTATAAAATTATTCCAAGAAAAAGAAAAATTCAAAGTCATGATCCACAATTTCAACACCATTAAACGTCATCTCGCAACAAAAAACCTTCTTCTCTTCTAAACAAAACACTCACTTAATTCCAAATTTCTCCACCCATTTTCTCGGGGCCACCCATTTCTTCGGTTTCCCCAAAACTGAAGTTTACCTCCAGTTATGCATTCCGTGTTAAGTATTGAGCCCAATAGAAATGATTTGTTTGTGATCTGGGCCAATAACTTAATTAGTTCCAAGCCCAACTCGCGAAATCGGGCCCAATATCACATAAGCCCACTGATCCAGTCAAACTTTGATCTGAACCGTCTATTGTGGGGTTTTAATCTGAGCCCTCCATTTCCCCATTCTACTTCTCACCTCTCAACCTTAGCAGCACTCTTCTGCTGCGCCGTTTCTCTCTCTTCTTCTTGTCCCCTTCTCTCTCTACAGTATATCGTCACTCATTGTCGTTTTCCGGCGACACCGTCGCAGGTCTAGCCGGACAATGAGTGTCCTCGCCGTTGCAGCACATTTAATGCTGAAGACCGTTGAAACTTCGTGTATAAATACTGTGGTGAGAGAGAGAGACAAGTGTGATTCACCTTTTATTCAAACCTTAACTTTTCTGGCCTTAATCCTCTTCTGTGAGGGTTTAGGTATTGTGAGTGCAGAAATCTGGGTTTGTGCTGAGTGGAGAGGGTGAGTTATCTACTGAGTTGACTGTGCATGTGTTGGTGAGTCAACTCAGAGTGAGTTTGGGGGTCAGATCTAGGGTTTCGATCAGTGGCTGTAGCTTGGTGCTTGTTTTCAGTTGGTGTTACCACCAGATCTTGGATCGACAGTATGAACACTGGAAAAGGGAACTGAGCTGTTCTTATTCAATACTGCTTTATTTTTCATTTCCATTTTGGTTTCAAACTGTTCTACTGATCTATGGCTGTTTTTCAAAGAACCTGTACCTAACATTCCGGGTTTGCAATTGTCGTGGTTATTGTTTGAGATTTCTGGCGAACCGGCCTTGTCAGGACGGGAGATGGGTGGGGGTGGGGTAGAGTGGGTTGGGAAGAAGATGATGGGTGGCTTTGTACGCCATTTTTTTTTTCTTTCTGAATATAATTAAATATAATTTATATGTTTTCATTTTATTTATTTAAATTTAAATATTATTAAAAATTCATATTTGTAGCCATTTTCATTTTTTTTCTTTTTGAATATGTTAAATATAATTTATATTTTTTCATTATATTTGTTTAAATTTAAATATTATTAAAAATTCATGAGTAGTTTAATTGTTTTAGAGGGGCAATTTTGTCCTTTAACGCACAAAATGAACAAAAATCGCACAAGTAGTCGCACACACAGCGAGTGAATAACACGCACAAAGATTAGGGGGGTGTATGGCTTTGACTATTGATTATAGGGGGATTTTTGTCACTTTTTTTTATCCCAGGGGGGTTTTTGGTCTTTCGGATTAACACAGGCGGAGTTTTTGCATTTAACTCGAAGGATAAGTGCTTCCGAATAGAGTTTTTGGCTACCTTATGGATTTTCCAGATTCCGGAACTCTCGGAGCGAAAATGAAGGTTTTGTAAATTTGCAAGACATCTTTATTATGGATTTATATAGATGGAGATCGTAGTTGTTAGATGCACATAGTCATACGTGCTTTGACCCAAAAACATAATATAAATAAAATAAAATAATTAGTATATAAAGTTATAAACACCCTCATTTACTAAAAAAACAAATTTCATATATCAATCTTCATCTCTTTCCAATCTCACGTATCTTTCTCCCTCTATTTAATTTCTCATCTCTCTTCCTCTGCATATTGTGTCTCTTACTCCCATGTCTCTTTTTCTTTTCAATTTTTTTTCTTTTCTTTTGAATTCCATGTTTTTTGGGTTGAAGAAATATTATAGAGATGAAAAATTATGGGAGCTGTTTATTTTATGAGATGATTTCTTGATGAAAGAGTTAACAGCGGAGAACAAACATCACCCTCCCAACCCTTCCCAAAGAAAAAAAAAACGAATTTTAGAAATTCAAAATCCTAGCCAAAATTTGCATTGCATGTTCCGTATGTAAAACCTTCCCATCGTTTGTTGTTAACAATTTTTCTTTGTGGGTTGGGTTAACTTCGTTTGTTGTTTGAAGAATTGTGTTTGGTGTTGAGATTTGATCCCTCTGGTTTACAATTTACAATGCATGTTTTAAGTTACATTTTGCAAACATTTTTTTAAGGGCGAATGGCAAAAAGGCCCATCACATGGGACTTAAATGCATTTTGGTCCACAAAAAAAAAAAACAGTTTTTCAATTAAACCCATCCCCATGTCTTTAGTCTAAAATACCTCAATAATATAATTCTTATCAATTCCACCCATTATGCTCTAACTTCCTTAATATTACACATTGACCCCGGATTTAAACAAATATATCACATTAATCCCCAAAACTTTTTTTTTTCAGAAAATAATTTTTTTTCTGAACTGTTTTTTTTTTCCGGCCAGATTCCGGCGTTGACCGCCGGTCTCCGGCGTTGACTTTTTTTTTTTTTTGAAAACTTTTTTTTTTCCTGAAATTTTTTTCCGGCCGGTCAACCACCGTGGACCGCCGGTCTCCGATGTTGACTTTTTTTTTTTTTGAATTTTTTTTTTCTTAGAAAAAAAATATTTTAATTAATATTACTGTCTTGGCTACTAAATTACTGTCTCAGACAATAATATTACTGTTTGGGACAGTAATATTATGAATATTATTTTCCCGAACAGTAATATTATTAATATTATTGTCTAAAACAGTTAAATTACTGTTGGAGACAGTAATTTAGCATCCAAGGCAGTAATATTAATTAAAATATTTTTTTTAAGGAAAAAAATTATAAAAAAGAAGAAGTCAATTAACTGTTAAATTACTGTCTCCGACAGTTAAATAACTGCTGGAGACAGTAATTTAGCGACGAATACAGTAATATTAATTAATAATATTTTTTATAAGAATAGTTAAATTATTGTCTCCGACAGTTAAATAACTGCTGGAGACAGTAATTTAGCAACGAATACAGTAATATTAATTAAAAATATTTTTTTAAGAATAAAAAAGTCAATTAACAGTTAAATTACTGTCTCCGACAGTTAAATAACCGCTGGAGACAGTAATTTAGCAACGAATACAGTAATATTAATTAAAATATTTTTGAAGAAAAAAAAGAAGAAGTCAATTAACAGTTAAATTACTGTCTCCGACAGTTAAATAACTGCCGGAGACAGTAATTTAGCAGCGAAGACAGTAATATTAATTAAAATATTTTTTTTAAGAAAAAACAAAATTATAAAAAAAAAAAAGTCAACGCCGGAGACCCGGCGTTCAACGGCAGTTGACCGGCCGGAAAAAAATTTCAGGAAAAAAAACGTTAAAAAAAAAAAAAAAGTCAACGCCGGAGACCGTCAACGCCGGCGACCGGCGGTCTCCGGTGGTGGGGGTCAAAATTGGGGTCAAAATTGAAATTATGGTTAAAATTGGTTAATTGATGAAATTGGGCTAAATTGGGGTGTAAATCATGAAATTGGAGTTGAATTGGGTTTCAATGAATTGGGGGTAATTTTGGTATATATAAAAGGATTTTCCTTATTTGAAAATAAGTTTGAATGAGCTGGATTTATTTGAAAGACAAAAAAGTTGGATGTCTCTCTTTTAATTAAGTGCCCTTGTTATGGGCCTATTTGCCATCACCCTTTTTTTTAAATGTTTTTGTTGTTTGCAAAGTGTTTCATAAGCATAATGATGCTGATTTTTTTCTTCAATTTGTTGTTTTGTTAGTTTATTGTTTGTAATTCAATAATGCAAATTTCGTTGATTTTTTTTTAGTTTGTTATTTGCATTTTGGTGAAATCTAGGTGGTTTGTAGTTTGCAACTCAATAATGCAAATTTTGAATTTTTTTTTATTTAGTTTACTGTTTGCATTCACCGAAATCACATGTAGTTTGTTGTTTGCAATTCAATAATATAAATTCTAAATTTTAGTTTGCTATTTGCAGTTCACGGAGTTAGCGGCGGTGGCGCGACAACGGTGACGCGGTGGCGGTGGTTTTTTTAGAGTATGAGTTTGTATAATAAAGTATATTTTTTTATTACAAATTAATTTTATTTTTTAGTTAAATTTGGAAGAGATATGTTTGGGGGAATTTGTTCTGATAAAGAGGTTTTTTGGGGATTTAATTTTTATTTGATTAAGGGTATTTTTGCCACAATGAATATAATTAATTTATTAAAGAGTAAAAAACAGTTTCTCCCCCTAAACTAAGACCCATTTTGCACTTCGCCCCACAAACAATTTCTTTTACATATTTTTACCTAAACTTGTGTTTTTGTTGCACGTTGCCTCAAAAGTAGTATTTTCCGGCAAAATTGACCGGAATGTTAAGCACGGCTATTCACGTGAGTTTGGCAGGGGTGAATCTGTCTTTTCATTGGCAATAAAATACGTGGCATCCACCTGTCTTCTTTTCTCCCACCCTTCCTTGAGTTCTCTTCAGAACCCAGACCAATGCTATTTTTCTCAAATTCTTACCTACAAGGAAATTATTAACTCCAAATCAAGAATAAATGATATTATTTTCTAAGTAAGATCACTCCCCCAAAAACGTAAATGAAAATAAAGAAATTTCGATCACTGCCCTCTACGAAAGGATTGGAATGAAGAACAAGAAAAATCAGGGGAAATGCAGAACTTGATTCTCTGTAGTTGAGAATTAGAGAGAGGGATATTTGGGGATAAAAAAATGAAAAATGAAAAATGAAAATGAAAACATAAAGATGAAAAAAAGGGAAAATTAAACCTTAGTCAAGATGTGAATAGACAATTTTACCCCTAGCAAGTGTGGTGCGCGTGCATAGATTTCTAGTGAATTTTGCCGGAATATATCGTTTTTTGGGCACCACGCAACAAAAAGCCGAGTTTATGTAAAAACATGCAAAAAAAAAAAAATTCTTTGGGTCACAAAGCGCAAAATTGGTCTTAGTTTATGAGGGAAACTGCTTTTTACTCTTTAATAAAATATACATATTTTGACCTAAAGTTATAGACATAAGTTATAACATAGAGTAACCTATAGCAAATTACCCCTTTAATATTTTGGGCCAATTAACAAACTCCAACTATTCATAATTACCAGGCTAACCCTTTTGACCATATTTCTTAATATTAAAGTAATTTTCATACCTATAATGATGCGTTTAAAGTAAATAAAATTGTAAATTACCAAAATTCTCGTTGTATGGTCAATAAAAAAAAACTCCCAAAGTATTCATAATTAGTGAAATTCCCTAAAATTTATTCCGTCTAAACACATTCTCCAGTATTGTTAATTGGAAATAATAGTAAATTGTTACCGAAGGTTTGAAGAATCCGACAACCTCCATGCAGTTTCTGGCCGTGGAGGCCGGTGGTCGACGAGGGTATTCGTTGAATTTATGGTGAACTCCGACGTCATACATTATCGCTAAGACGAAACCATTAGTGGCATTCTTACGACTTTGTTCAATGACATTTCAAGTTTCAACGACTTTCATTTGACTTTTCGGTCATGAGAAATTGGGGTCTCTAAGCAAATTTAAAAAAAAAAAATAGAAATATGAGCCCCTATTGCATAATTTACACATTAATTTGCTCTTATAAATATAACTGGTCACAAATATTTTTTTATTAGAAGTTGCGATTTTTGGAGATACATGACTAATACCTTGACGAAGTTATTAAAATAAATCCATAAGTCTACAATGGTTCATGGCCATTGATACATAATTGTAGCACAATCTGCAGCCTTCAAAGCCTTGAAGCTGAGATGTGTTTTTCTATAAAATCTCTAATATATATATGCACGAATTGTGTTCCATAACCTAGCTTGAACCTAAAGAAATCAGTCTTAGAATAGAATCACTCTTCTACAACCTAATTTAAATAAGAATAAATCTTTTACAATCATTTCCTAATCTAAAACAAATAATAAGAAAATAAATAAGTAATAAATAATATAAACAATACATGATAAGGAAATTAGCTAGAAACTCTGTATTTTAGACTTATATAAGAAGAGATCCAAGTGATTTGATGAATATAGATATAGGTCCCTTAATCACTAAAACAATAAAATTAACATAAATTATTAGTGTATAGACATAACTACCCTCAATTAATATTTATGTGAAAATATTATTTTAGAAAATAAGAGAACAAATCCCACATATTACTCTCATTTCTCTCTCTCTCCCAGTTCCCCTCTCCACTTTTACGCATCTCTCTCTCTCTCTCTCTCTTAATTAATTTTTTTTTAATTTGTAATGTACTTTATTATTTATTTTAGAAAGTGATTTGCTTCAACAAAAAACAGACATCAAACATCAACAAAAGAAATTTGAAAACGCATATTTAACTTAATAAAATTGTTGTAATATAGTATCTACTTGTTATACATTTTTCGGTATGATTTCATTACACATATTTATTTGCATATTTTTTTGATAATATTTTTAATATCCAATTAATTTATTCCACTAATTTATATTTTTTTCCAAGTTGTAACATCAAAATGCAAATTGCATGCAACAACAAAATGCAAAATACAATTTGCAACAACAAAAATCGCAACAGTAAAGTGAAAAATATAAAATAAATGATAAACAAACTCCAATTTTTAGTAATAAAAAAATATTGAAAAAAAATATTATATAAGGAAAGAGAAAACGTGAGAGGGAGAGTGAGGGAGAGTGAGAGAAGAGAGAGAAAGAGGTGTGAGAGAAGAAAGAAGATGAAAAGAGAGAAAAAGAGGGCGTGAGATGAGAGATGTGTGAGAGGAGAGAGATAGAGAGATATGTGAGATTTGTTTCCTTCATATTCTAAAATAACTTTTATTGTATATATCTATTAGGGGTACTTTTGATATAATGTTAAAGATAGTTTAATAAAAAATGAGATTTTTGACTTGAATTTATACACATAAAATCTACTATAGAAGGACCTATAACAAATTGCCCCTTTATTAAAATATATGGCATAAATCGATTATTATTCTAATCACTTGGGAACGAATTCTTCAAATCTTCAACACTCATCACCGTTGCCAACAAAATTATATGATGCATTTTATTTGTTTAGCAAACTATATGATGTATCTAAAAATTTAACATATACAAGACCAATATATAAATTTGTACATCATGAATCGAAGAACGTGGAGATCCACGATTAACGCATATATAATACTGCTCATTAAAGTTTGATTAATTTTAATAGTATATTCATCTTGAATATATTCCTTAAAATAGTAAATTTGGAATGTTCCCATCATTATGCATTATACTAATATTAGGGTGATTTGAAAATATGTGGTTCGTTGGTCAACATAAATTAATATGGTGACTAAATATTCCTCCCTCATTCAAAATCGACCAGATATATCGTGTTCCATTTTGATTATAATCACTAATTAACAAGTGAACTAGATGAAATAGTAATTGTGAATCGTAGAAATTAAAGGAGATGGTATTTATGATAGACAACGGTATATATAAAAAGGAAGAGAATAGTGATGGGCAGAAGAGCGACATTGCATATGCTGCTACGATTAGCATTTGATAATAAAATACCCCAAACACCATAACAAAAATTGTCATAATTAATTAGCTATGGCAAATTCAGAAGGAAGTCGAGAGATCTTACAGGCATGCCTTGTTTTGGGCTTGCTTGCTTTGATCAACGTTGTCCGATGTGACAATTATCCTGATTTCCAATCCCGCCGTAGCTTAATTGGTGAGACAATTTTTGATGTTACTAAGTTTGGGGCTAAAGGCGATGGCATTACCGACGATGCCATGGTACATACCAGATTTTATTTATTTTAATTAAATGAGCTTATAAACAAATATATATACTATATAGAGACTTGTACTTTTGTTTAAAATGATCAGAAGATATAAAAAAAATGATTATGTACGTAGTGGCGAGAATTTTTTTCCACCATGTTATACATATATTTCTATTTAGTGCACCTAATTTTTATTATTTAGTCTAGCCAAAAATCAAATTAATGAAAAAACTTCCTAAAAAAACTTATTTTCTTTTGTTTTCCTTATTTTTGATTAAGTCCACCTTGTAAAAAAAACTTCCTGATTCGTCACGTGCAGGCAATAATTAAGGCATGGAGAGCAGCATGCACCACTGTGGGAGCAGCAAAGGTATTGATCCCACGTGGAGACTTTGTGGCAGGGGAGGTTGTAATGGCTGGACCTTGCACTGCTCAAAAACCAATAACTATAGAAATACAGGGAAATCTATTGGCGTATGATGATATGAGTGTCTACACACGTGGTGCTTGGATCATGATTGAAAAAGTTGACGGCCTTGTTGTTACTGGCGGTGGAACAATCAATGGTCGCGGAAAGGAGGTCTGGCAGTATTTTACTAAGGGTAGCCCTCCACTTCCAGTGGTAAGTAGTATTATTTTTTAATTAGTTAATTAATTAGTTTCGCTTGATTATTAACGGTGGCATGTGTCGTGGATACAGTCTCTAATCCTGCAGTCAGTGCAAAATGTAAAAATGTACAACCTGAATTTGGTGGACAGCATGGGTTTTCATTCAAAGGTGACGGACAGTACAAACGTGGCTATTTCCAACATGAAAATAACTGCACCTGGAAAGAGCCCAAACACCGACGGCTGCCACATGAGCAGCTCTAGAAACATTAACATAACTGATACCGTCATTGGAACTGGAGATGACTGCATTTCAATTGGCCATGGAAACTATAACATTTTGGTCGCGAGAGTTACATGTGGCCCTGGGCATGGCCTCAGGTATATTCCTTTTTCCACACACTCGTAGTTATATTGTTAATCTAAAAATAATTCATAACGACATGCATGTAGCATTGGGAGTCTGGGAAAACGACCCAACGAAACAAGCATGAAAGGAGTAACTATAACAAACTGCACGTTGGTGGGGACAACAAACGGCGCTAGAATAAAAACCTACCACGCATCTCCACAGATCGAAGCTTCATCCATCTATTTTCAAGATATTGTTATGGATCGTGTCAAAAATCCCATCATTATTGATCAGCATTATGACTCCAAGAGAAAGCGTGAGGTATGTATATTATTAATTATTAATTATATATTTTGTGGAATAATTAGATATAATATTTATTAATTATATATTGCGTATGTGCGTGCAGCCATCGAAGGTGAAGATCAGTGATGTTCACTTCAGAAATATAAGGGGAACCTCAATTTCAGCAGTGTCAATATCTCTGAATTGTAGTTCAACATTTCCGTGTCAGGGCATTGAATTGTCAAACATTGATTTGCAGCCCATTGCCCCTATTGGACCTTTAAGATCTTCTTGTTCTAATGCCAGATTCTTCGTCACTGGAAAAATCAACCCCACTGCCCCCGCTTCTTGTGTATAGACATATTTTCTTTTCTTTTCTATTTAACTGCTATTTTATTCATTCACGAATAGCAAATTCACTATTTCTCTTTAACCAAAATATGTATTTTGGGAAGAAATATATTACCTAGTACATATACAACTGAAATTCATTAATATCTTGCTCTTCACAATTTTTGGCTTAACAAATAAATAATATAATATAACAAGGCTTGGCAATTATTGGTTGGGTAATGTACATAATGAATATTAAAAAAATTAAAAAATAAGAATTGGCAGCTTGAATATTTAACTATTCTATTTTAACCAAAAATATGAGATATCTCAAGACCTAATACCATTAAGAATTGCTTGTTTCATTGGTTAATTTTTTTGCTCTTTTTAAAGGCAGATGTGCCAAAAACGCAAGCGTCGTGCTACTAGAACTTCCATTTTTATGATTCATTAACTTAGAAATAATTTTAGTATAACACATTTATTCCGACTCAATTTTAGTAGGGCATCCATGGATTTTATTTGAGCTAGTACTTTGACACGCTCGATGCACGGAATAAAATTAGGGTCTATTAGATATAACCCCCTTAAACATTCAAATAATAGGGGTAGATCCAAATTTAAATTTGCCATTTTGATAAAAACCCAAACTTTTCTAAATTACATAAGTACCCTCAATCAAATCCCAGCCGTCACTGCTCCAATCTAGGGTTACTCAAATCTAGGGTTTTGATAATTCTTCGGCCCATAGTTGATTAACCAGATGCATAGTCGAATTACATCTGTATTAATAGACTATCCTATATCATTTAATAGACTATCCCACTGGTATAATTTGACTATGGATCTCGTTAATCGACTATGGGCCGAAGAATCATCAAAACCCTAGATTTGAGAAGTGACGGCGGCGGATTTGTGTTTTAAAATTAATAGACTATTTCATATCATTTAATAGACTATCCCATGTATCTAATTCGACTATGGGTTTAGTTATTTGACCATTGGAAAAATAATAATATATATGGAAACTGAATAATATGTTTGTTTGAAATACTAATCAATTAGGGTAATTTTCCTTATTATATGAAAACGATTAGGGTAAATAATAATATATATGAAAAAATAATAATATATATGGAAACTGAATAATATGTTTGTTTGAAATACTAATCAATTAGGGTAATTTTCCCTATATCATGTAATAGACTATCTTATTGATCTAATTCGACTATGGATCTCGTTAATCGACTATGGATCCCGTATTATTCAACCACAGAGTATATTAATAATTTCAATATAGTACATTAATCTGCTATGATAGTATATTACGGTTATAGTAGTGATATGAAATTGTGTTACAAACAATATACCACTGAAATGACAAGAACATTGAGAACAAAACCAACGTAAAGTATTCCAACATAACCAATAAAATAGTACATTAATAATCTCATAATTTCAATCTAGGGTTTTGATAAAATACATAAAACACATCATAACACAATCAAACCAATATGTCGAGTTAAAAAAACTCTAGTACATTAATAATCTCATGATAGTATAATAAAATGATAATGGTAGTATCATACGGTATTCATAATAGTATACTACTGTATTACAACGGTTTAACACTTAACCGAAGTTACCGAGCCATTACATCGTAAACACCTCTTTATAGCAACCAACCCACCAAACCTTAATAAAATCCGTACGAAATTCGCCATCGGAAAAACCTAAAATCATGAAACAAAATAAAAAATGCAGAATACTAAAAAATGATTAAATAGACTGCAAATACATTTGAATGACAATACATGAATATTATCAAAAATAAACTTTAAATGCAAAATCCATACGCTAAATTAAAAAAGACTACAAAATATATTTTAATGTACTACCGAGCACACTAAAATCGACTGTTGTAAACAAATAAACCAACTATCAATATGGATCAAACTCATGAACTCGACCACAACAGACATTTATTTCGATTATTGCATAAACCAACTACGACGCTCAAATAAAACAACTCTGGTCCGACTGCGTGAACCATCCTCTTATAACTCTGTGAATCCTCTTCCAAACAAACACCATCAGCCAAAAATAACGATGTATATGTGACGACGTAATTTTGTTAAAAAACGTTCTACTTAATAGAATCAAGTATCAACACAACTCTTAAAAATGTCTAACCACCGTACACGACAACCCTGGACATACAGCGAAAATAAAAAACGAAAAAAAAACGCATTCATACCCGCTTAACAACGTACAACAATGAACGCTCAAATCCGATCCTATTTCCACGCCGGTGAAAAAATCTTCAAAGACGATAGAAAAACGATGAAACGCTGGAGAAAATCTTCAAAACAGATTGTACACGATTTGATAGAAACGACCAATAAACTCACGTAAATTTATTCCGTGATTTTAGGCAGCATATCAGCAAATCTCATATCACGTAGTCAAGGAAATAAATACCGTTCAAAAATAAAACAGGGGTATTAAAGGGAAATTATATAATATATTTTGCCAAGTTGGCAAATTTGGGTGTATCTCAGAAAGGGAAAAATTAATTGGATCTACCTCATTAGAAAATATGAACAAGGGGGTTATCCCTAATAAACCCATAAAATTAATGAAAAATAAAAATAACTTTAAATCATAAAATTGAGGTTTAAAAAAAAATTAAATTAAATCACATCAAAACTAAAAGATAAAAACGACAAACACAGTCTTGAGATGTTTGGTCTTCATATAAAAAATAAATAAGCGCTTTGTTCATGCTATTTTTTCTTAAAAGAAACACGTGGGCACATCAGTGTAGTTAACACATGGGGATTGCAATTTCACCGGCAGAAAGGGCCTCCTGCCCTTTTGTCACTCCTATATGTTATCCTTTCAACACAACACTTTCTTAGAGTTCACTATATTGTAAAGAACCCTGAAAAAAATTACGAAATAAGAGCAATAATCAAATGTTTCGCAAAACATCACCAGTGAAGAAATAAAAATCCTTACTCATCTCTAATAGATACATTGGCAGCTTTAGCATGAACATCAATAATATAAGAGGGTATTACTTTCGCCGATCAAATGTTCTCAAAATTTTCTTCCCCCGTTACGAAAAAAATTACACACTCGGTGAATTTGTGTCTTTTTAAGACAACAAAATGGAATTTGATCAAAACAATACACTCTGGGCCCTTTTGGTTTGGTAGTTTGGATAGATAAGTGTGTATGGGATATGTAATATTGGGACTAAATTGAGTATTAGGAATACCATACACGACTTTTGGTTTGAGGTATTGTCACGAATATGCTAATCTCTTGATCAATTAAACGATGTTTTGTTATTGATATTTCGGTCTAAATTAATAATACTTGGCCAATGTCTGAAATGCCCTTAAATTATATTATACAAATATCCATTTTCATTTTCTTCATAATACAGAGTTGCAGATCCCCAATATTCTACCCCTCTCTACAGTAGCCCTAAATTGAATCTTTATAAAACGCAAATACATCATAATTTGGTTCCATTCTTTGGTAGTTTTTGTAGAATGAGTACTGGTGGTAGTAGTTCGAGAAGGGAATCGAGCAGCAATGAACACGGTGGATTCGACACAAATCAACCGGATATTTGTGAGTGTGGTTTCAAGCTTCGTTTACAAACTTCTTGGACCCCAACCAACCTAGGGCGACGCTTTTTATCTTGCCAACAAAGGGTAACTTTATCTTCGTTTATCAATATCAATCTATTACAATCCATTTTATAATGCCCTGTACTTTCTCAAGTAATGTGTGGTTAAAAAAATGTTGTGAATCTTAAATGAGGTTCACATGGTTTTAGTCAAACTTTATTGAATTTGATGAATGTTGCCAACGGAGCTATGCCATATTCAATTCGCCATTTAAAATAATTATTAATTTATACATTAATTAATAATTTATCAATTAAAATTCAAAACAAACCCCCACCCACTTCAGTGGCGATTCCTTGGTTTATTCAAGGGTGAAACTGAACGTACTAAAAAAATATATGAATAAAATTTATAAAAATGATGGATTAAAAATTATAGGGGTGTAGGGGCAGTGTCCCCGAACTATTATTTGAGAAGTATGAACATGAAATGACACAACATATGTAAATTTTTTAAAATTAACAGGATGATTTAATGTTTCACTTCCTCCATCCTCCATGATGTTTAATTTTTATAGAAAATAGACTTCATAAACATTCATAAAGAAAAATTAAATTATTTTTTAATAATTACTAATTTATAATTTTTAAGAAAATGTTTTTAAAAAAAATCTAACTTCTAAAATAGAAAGAACAGTTTATACTTTTTTCTAGTAAAAAGCAGATTTTATAGAAATAAAGCAGTAGCTTTTCTAATAAATTTTTATTTTGGTTCAATAATTTTGATTTTAAAAAATGCCTTGGTATATGAATAAATAAATAAATTGAAAATGTCAAGGATTTGCAATTGCACACGGCAAACCCTTGCACCACACCACCTCCACCACTGCCCTATCTCTTCTTCTTGAACAAAACTCGTTTTTAAAGTAAATAAAATAATGAATAGTGATTATTATTTGAGGAATAAAAACCAGTGACTAAAACATTAGAAATTTAACAATTAAGTGCTCCAATATTAAGGAAATTGTAAAAACAACTATATTTATCCAAAATAAAGTTTACTTTAGACTACCCATAATTAAATCAATGACATGTTAATCTTGTCACGCAAGGGAAGGTCTAGCGGTTGGATCAAGTGGTTCTGTGTCAATTGACCTAGGTTCAAGTCCCCTTGCCAACAGACGCTGGGTCGAGCTTGTCGCACATGAGTAGCCTGGTGTGATTTACGTGTCTCATTTGGTTTACAAGGTATTATACGAGAGTGTAGGTTTACGCAGTGCACCTATATGGTTTCGCTACATGTTCTTTCATTACAAAAACAAAAAAAATTAATAATAGGAGAATGTTTATCTATCTATATATAATAGGGGTAATATGCTAGGGGCCCCTCAGCACAAACTTAACTTTAAGTGGATGAAAATCTCAAATAAAATATTTTAACTAAATCCTTAGTTCAAAATAAAATTTGACCCACATCTTTTTTTTGTTTATCTCGGAAATACCCTTAATATAGTAATAAAATATTAGGTTTTTCTCTCATTCCTCTCATTCTCTATGAGCATGCTCTTTCTTTTTCCAGTCGCCCCACTCCAACCTTTTCTTTCTCCTGTTCAACTATTCCATCTCTCTCCTTTTTCCAATCGCCCCGCCCCAACCTTTTCTTTATTTTTTCCAGTCGCCCCATCCTAACATTTTTTTTCTTCTGTTCAACCTTTACTGCCGTCCAACCCATTCCATTCTCTATTCTTGAGGATGCCTGCACCTCGAGATCTGAAGATTTTGTGGACCCATTCCAGATCCGCTGCGGAGCGGTTGAGGAGGCTGAAGGGGGCTATGCAGAGATATGATTTCGAGGTTCTTGGAGACCTCGGCGGCG